AGTGAAGATATCTCTTAACTGCTCTCCAGTCTTCACATGTCCTGTAGCCACCAATACTTGCTGTATTTTCTCACGTACATAATGACAATCAACTTCAATGTGTTTGGTTTGTTCATGAAATACTGGATTAGATGCAATATGGAGAGCTGCTTGATTATCACACCAAAGTTTCATTGGAATGGTGACGCCAAATCCCAATTCTATGATATATCCATACTAATTCACACACCGACTATGCAATGGCTCGATATTCTGATTCTGTACTTGAACGTGACACCACATTTTGTTTCTTACTTTTCCAAGAAACTAAATTACCTTCGACAAATACACAATATCCTGAAGTTGATCTCCTATCTTCCTTAGAACCTGTCCAATAAGCATCCGAAAAACATTCAATATTAAGATGACCATGATCTTTATATAACAAACCATCTCCAGGAGCACATTTCAAATAACATATAATATGTTCCATTGCGGCCTAATGGTCAGTCGCAGGAGAACTCATAAACTGGCTCATAATACTGACTGGATAAGCTATGTCAGGCCTAGTAACTGTAAGGTAATTCAGCTTCCCTACTAACCTCCTATACTTCTCAGGATCTTTCAACAACTCTCCTTCCTTTGTAAGTTGTAAATTAGGCATCATTGGAGTACTACGTGGCTTAGCAGCTAATTTTCTTGTTTCAGTTAACAAGTCGAGTACATACTTTCTTTGTGACAGGATCCCCTTCTTGCTCCTTATTACCTCAATTCCTAAGAAGTATTTCAACATTCCCAAATCTTTAGTATGAAATTGACTATGAAGAAAAGACATGAGTGATAGGATGCCTGATGTATTATTACCAATAATCACAATATCATCCACACATACAACTAGTAAGATAATACAAGACTGAGATCATTTATAAAAAACAGAATGATCTGACTTACTCTTCTTCATTCCAAAATTCTCAATCACCTAACTGAATTTTCCAGACTATGCTTGTGGACTTTGTTTCAATCCATATAAGGATTTGGGCACAAAACACAGCCTAACCTCATTCATATAATTCTCTTCCCTCAGAAATAATAATACACAAATGCCTAAGCATGTTATGTAATATGTACTGTTGGCACAGTTTCCACGTCCATACCCTCAACCATGTTCTTACTCTTTCAGTACTTTATATGATAAATGGTTAAGCATCTGAGATAATATCCATTCAGACTGAGGGGGTGCTGATTTCTCTTTCATAGGGTCCTTTTCTACTCATCCATTTCTAATTTAAGGTTCTCAAATATGGTTTCTCTTTAGTTCTTTGGTGCTTCATGTATCGATTTGATTTTCAGCTTTTATTGACTTGTGCTCTTTTGATGATGATTTGGGACATATGTCTTTTCTTTTCAGTTTTGGGACAAGTGAAAGACAATGGGTTGAAGCTCAAGTTGAAAACGCAAAGCAGCAAGCTATTCTAATGGTTCTCAAGTCGCAAGTAACGTCAGATGAAGCCCATATTCATCTTGATCTTCATTCTCTCAGGTACAGTTTCAAAGGGCATATAATTATGCTTTAAGATCATTTAGGTTTGTTTCTAACTTTTTAGTACCAAAAATGGATAGGATGAAGGTAAACATAAAATAAAGGCCAAAATATTTTACAGAAGCAATTTTAAATAATATCATTATTTGGAAAGTTCAAGTTGAAGTTTCGTGCCCCACGCGGCAGCCCAGTTGGCAAGGGCTTGGGATCTCTATATTGGCTTAGAGGTCTCAGGTTTGAACCTTCTGGTGAACTTAATACCAAAAACCTTTGATGTCTCCCAGGTCTGGGCCTTAAGACGGGTGTGGGTGCCTCTGGGTATAGGGGTGCAAAGCTCCGACTCTCAGTTATCAAAAAAAAAAAAAGTTGAAGTTTCGTAAAATAATTTCTTTGGCCTGGGGTTTTCAGAAATTAAAGCTTAGAGCTTGTGGTGGTACTTTTGAAAATTTTATCTATCTTTTTGTTGTATAAAAACTCGTTAGAAGATTGTATATTTTAGGGGTGTAATAATTTCGGTTCGGGTCGGTTTCCGAACAGACCCAAACTCAAGTCGGTTCAACTTGGGTTGTTGTCGGTTCGTGTCGGGTCGAATTCGGTTTTTTTTCCCCTTATTCTTCTTTGTTTTAATGGAGCATGAATTCTTAAGATTTTCTTCCATCCCTAAAATCTCTCTTCAAAATCAAAATGTTCGGTGAAATTTGAAGAAACCCACAAAATTACTGGTTAAAAATAGATTGTGATTTTGATTTAGAAACCCACTTGTATCTATGAAAACAAAGAAAATCCAAAAAATTAGATCTTCTTCTTCAGATCTTCTTTCTATGCAAACCCACAAAAACCTACTTCAAATCTCTCTTCTTCAAATTTTATTTCCATGAAAACCCAAAAAAATTAGATCTTCTTCGTTGGATCTTCTTTCTATGGAAACCCACAAAAACCTACTTCAAA